GACAATTCAAGCTCACTAGCCTCTCCTTGTAAACATCTTGCTTTCAGCCAAGATCCATCTGCTATCAGCAATGTTATGCTTCATTCCAGGTCTTCTCTTGAGCCCAACTTAAGTTTCTGTAAGTTCCCTATGAATGTACTATTGCAACTGTTTTGTATTATCTGTAGAAAAATTTTATTTGCTTATGATAATCTCCAAATTTTGTTGGATCACTTTCTTTGAAATTATCAAAAATGTGGATCCCTTCCAGTCAATGTCTAAGTAATTGTCTTCCCAATGTGTTGCCATTGAAGAGTGAGCAGTTTTAGCACTGTATGTATTTGTTAAAACATTTCAATTGGCGTTGCATCAAATCCTGGAGCTTTATTTTTCACTAATCCTTTCATAGTAGTTTAGACTTCTTCTTCATTACCTACAGTTCTTGATTATATGCTGCCTTCTGATGTGGTGGAATGTTCGCAAATTATTTTCAGTATAGTTACTCTGTGTATTCCTCCCATGTTCTTTTGAAGATGCATCACCTAATATTTTCCCCACAAAATCCTTCAATATTTCAACTTGAAGCTTAAAAATTTTCTTCATTTCTTTCAACTTGAGAAAGAATTTCCCTTTTTATTTTCTAATTTCAGTTCTTTGCACATTTCATAATTCTTTTCTTTGTCTTTTAGAGTTGCCCTTTGAAATCTTCAAATCTTCAGTTCAGCTTTTACGTCATCCTTTTAGTCCATTCACTTTATTTATTATATTTATGTCTTGAAAAATTTTATATTTAGAATTAACCAGCTGGACTCCATTTAGATGATCCTAATTTTGTTGGCAACATCCAAAGCATAATAGTCAGGATCCTTCTTTTCTCCATCGGGCCTGATTAAGGTGTTGACCTTGGCTACATCAGTGTCATAGAGCTTCTTCACAGTCTGTTTGCTCTAGTGCTTGTTGGCCTTGGCATCCATAATAAACACAAGTGAGCTATTATCTTCAGTCTTCTTCATGGCTGACTCAGTAGTCAGAGGGAATTTGATGATGGCATAGTGGTCAAGCTTGTTTCTCCCAGGGGCGCTCTTCTGAGGATATTTGGGCAGACTCCAAAGCCTCAGAGTCTTGGGCCACCAGAAGGTGGGTGACATGTGGATTTTCTTTTTGTGTGTGTGGCTGTGGACACCTTTCAGCACTGCCTTCTTGGCATTCAATGCCTTTGCTTTGGCTTCAGCTTTGGGAGGGGCAGGGGCTTCCTTCTTTGCCTTCGGCACCATCTTCATCAAAATCCATTCACTTTAGTTACAATACCTGCAAGAGCAAGTTTCAGTATCTTTTCTAATATCTATTTTGTTTTTTGTTTTTTCTTTCTTATCTTTTTAATGACCTTTGGTTTTCTTTATGTATGATTATCTGGTCTTTGGTCATTAGTGTTCAGTGTGCCAAATCTGTTCTTGAGATAGTCTCTAATTTCAGGTGGGAGGGATATATTCAAGGTAGTACTTTGACTATCATGGGTTTGTTTTAATATTCTTAACCTTCAACTTTAATTTTCATATGAGCAATTGATGATCTATTTCACAATTGCCTCTTGGCCTTGTTCTGGCGCTTCTCTATCATCTCTTTACATAGATGTAGTGTATTTCATCTGGTGAGGTTCACATATAAAGTCACGATTTATACTGTTGAGAAAAGGTATTTTAATGAAAGGCTGTTGGTACAGCACAATTCTATTATGCAGTCTCAGGATTAATTTCTTTCACCAAGGTCATATGATCCTTGTTTGTTTTCAACATTCACTGTCCAATCACCAGTAATTACCAGTGCATCTTGCTTGATAAGTTTCAGATTGTAGAAGTTGGCTTTTGTTTTTTGGGGTTTTTTTCCCAGTTTCTTTGTATATGGCATTAATGGTTGGTGTGAAATTTGAGTAACAGTCATATCAAGTGGCTTTCCTTACAAGTCTAGGTATATTACCTGGCAATGTTGCACTTCAAGATTTATCTTGAAATGTTCTTTTTGATGAGAATATGATACCATTCCTTTTCAATCTGTCAGTCCTAGCATAATAGATCATTGAACTTCATATTAAAAATGGTCAACACCCATCTATTTCATCGCACTGCTTCCTAGGACATTAATCTTGAAGTATACCATTTCATTTTTGAGATCTTCTAATTTTCCTGGATTCATACTCCATATATTCCCTGCTCAAATTATTAATGGATGTTTGTAGCTGTTTCTTCTCATTATTAGTTGTTCCACATTAGCAAATGAAGGTCCTGAAAACTTTACTTCATCTACATCATTAAGAGCAACTCTACTTTGAGGATGTAGCTATTTCCCAGTCATATTTTAAGTGCCTTCAAATGTGAGGGGGCTGATCTTCCAGCAGTATATCAGACAATGTTCCACTGCTTTTATTAGGTTTTCAATAGCCAGTTTTTTTCAGAAGTAGATCACCAGGTCCTGTTTCCTAATCTGTTTTAATTAATCTTGAAGCTCTACTAAAATCTGTCCACCATGGGTGGCCTGCTGGTGTTAGAAGTCCTGGTGGCCCAGTGTCCAGCATCACACAAACATTACAATATGTCAATTGTTATGTAAGTGGTGGTTGGAAACTCTGTGTAGCGCAATTTTACTCTGACACACATGAGGTCACTATGAATTGGGATTTAGTTGCTGGTAACTGATTTGTAGCCACTACAAATTTGGGGAGAGGGCAATAAAAGTCAAGAAATTCTCTTCTTGAGTTCATACTGTCAAGGACTATCAGTTAAGCATGTATGGCAGTAAATTAAATGCCATAATTGTATCAAGTCTAACTTGTGTTTGTTTCTTTCTCACACAAACTGCACCTAATGGTGGACACTTTGATCCTCATAGCCCTTTCTAGACCATAATTCCTATTATTTCCTTTAGAAATCCTGTCACTCTAAGCTTCTTATTTCCATCTTTTAAATTTATTGCCACCTCCCTGAATCACTGAAGGTGTTAGCAGTTAGTGCAAGGAATCCTTCTACACCCACATACAAGCAAAGCCCTGGTGAGTGTACTCCTTTGCAACGACACATGATACACGCTGTTGTTGTTCTTAAGTGCTGTCGAGTTCGTTCTGACTCAGAGTTACTCTGTATAGCAGCAGCTAGTGAACCTAAACCTACGACCTTGCTGTCCAGCACATTGACCAGCAGCATCACAACACAACATAATACATAGCCCCTCATTATGTGTTTGCCTCCAAAATTATTCTATTCCACACTATTTTAGCTACCCTATGGTTGCGAGTTGGGCTGCGAACCTCAAGGTCAGCTAGTTTGAAGCTACCAGTGGTTCTGTGAAAGAAAGCTGAGGCTTTCTGCTCCCGTAAAGATTTAAGCTTTGTAAACCCTGCACAGGGTTGCTATGAGTTGGAACCGACTCCATGGAATACCACTACCACCATCACCATTCCACAATTATCACCTAAAACTACAAAATAATTATGACAATAGCAAGGAGAAAATTGATTTTAAAAGTTAAACATTAAAATAGATATCTTTCCACAATGGGAAAAAGTATTAAAAGCTTCATCATCATCTGGGTGATCTCAAAGGTTATAGATTACTCCCCTATTTCACCATTCACAAGGCATGACAGATCTGCACAAATCTACTGAAAAAGGCATCAAATTCAAAATCACCAAAAAAACAGTGAGATCAAGTTCATCTGAAAAAGACATCAAAGAATTCTTTTTTCTAACCACTAATATTGATCTGATCATTAAACAAAAGCTCTCTGCTAAATATAAGGCCAAGTTCAAGTATTATCTATTTGAGTCATGCTGAAAATTAACATTATCATAAGAGAAAAACAATTTTCTTCAAAAATGAAAACAACCAACCTTTTCTTTTCAAGGGAGGCTCATCAATTTCTCCTAAACCAAGACAAAAATAGTAAATTAGAAAAAACTTTTAGGATCAAATATCATTACTTTTCTATTTTCTCAATTTCTTTTGTCCATTTTAAATACCATTTTAAGTTTTGGCAAGTCTAGTCCTTATATTTCTTTACTTCCCATATTTCAGGTTTTAAATACAAACTTTATTTATGTACTTTCATTTGAAATAACTTCACTTTTATGAGGTCAACAAAAATTGTGGCAGTGATCCAAATTATACATTATAGTTCATACATCAACTTTATCTCTGTTTCTATTGTTCAATCTGACTCTCCAATTTAAGCCAAACAAATAAAAATTCAGACAACATATTAGAAGGGTTTATAATGCTAAGAGTTTTCCTGGTACTTATGACTGAGCATATGATTTCTGATAACTAAACTGACCTGAATAAACGTCATCTAAAAGAATCACAATATTTCATTATTTTCATATACATGCATTGGCAGTTTATACATGATTTGGCTTGGCCGCTTCTTTTCATTCATTAATATATACGAGAGAACAAACACATAGATCAGTTGCATAATTGTGACATTTTGAATGTGTTCTTCCATTTCACACTTCCATTTAGTTCAATAAATTTACTTTTGATTGGGATTTCCACATTTTCACTTTCTGTTACTTGATCTTGAATATGACTCATGTGTTTAAAATATTCATATACATATGTGTAGTTATGTTATCATTTCAATATTATTAGTGATAAATGTGATAAAATTGAGAAAAGACTTTCCCCCCAAAGTATATAAATATGTTTATGAGTTACTAAGTAGTGCATAATAAGATCTTCTCTGCAATAAGACACTCTAATGGTAGCATTTAATTTGGACATCTTTGCCATAATGATAGATAACATGTATGATAAATGATAAATAGATCAATTCACTAAGTTTGGCAGCTTGCTTATATACTGCTAATACTTACAGGTGTATTCATTTTCGTTTAGTCTGATTCAAGAGGTCATTTGTACTTAAATATGAGTAAGCCACTGTAATATATATTTCATATAGGTTTCAGCAGTTATATATGTCTCTATACACATTGTACCTTTGTCAATGTCCTCGTCTCCAATCTCAACATCGTCTTCGTCATCACTATCAGATGAGATGATGTCAGACAACAAAGAAAAGAAGCCATAGATCCAGTCTGTGGTTTCTTCCACAGCA